TGTTTAAAACACCTTACATAAAACACCTTAAAGTAAAACAGGTCATTCTTTTTTGTTTCTAAATATTCAAATGATTAAATTTTATTTTAAAACACGTTTGGGGCAGAACGATTTTATTCAGTGAACACTTGAAAAGGCGCTTTTCGTAGTCCTATTTAAATATGGGTAGGAAATCTTTATAACGATATATATCGCGAAAAACGCACCGCGTTGCCAGATTTACGTGGTTCAATAGCTATCGAGTATCGGAATGCATTTTTAGTGGATCATTAGTGCTAATGAGTCTATAAATATTTAACGATCGTTCTTGCAACCGGCTGTTAATAACAATTTTATTAGTAAATTTTTATTGAAAAATTTTAAAAGCGAAATACCTAAATCAATATTTCTATACAAGGTAGCCACATTGAATATTACATAATGATGAAAAATTAACGATATTTTTAATAAATATTAACTCACTAAAAATGTATCATTTTTATCTTGCTGTGCCACTTTTTGAAAATAAGCACCACACGCACCACTTTAAAACGTCGCAGAGAAAAAATGGCCCAGCGATAATGATGGAGGTAGTGAATTTTGTAAAAAATTTGGTAGTATGGTAGACATGGGTCCCCTGAAACAGGAGCGGCTAAATGCTGACCGACGTGCACAGTTTATTTACTCGTCAGAGGGCGCTGCTACTGCTGATAAGTTAATATTGTCAATTATCGAATAAATAAAAACATTTAATTTATTGTTGCACATGTATCAACATGTGCAACAAACATTTTTATTAATGCCTGGTTGAATGTTATGGGATCACCACAACATTATTTATATGGTAATGGTCACGTATATCGGGCATGGCAAAATAATTTCTGCAAAATTAAATATTCTGAGAGAATAGTTTGGGCACATTAAAGTATTTGCAATATTTGCATTTAAATAAAACCATTAAGTTTTGTGCTGATAATAACATATTAGAATTTGGACAATACTTTAAACAATATTATGGAAATAATTATAAATATTGGGCTTAATGTTTCCATAAAAATTTTGGAATTATAAAAGAAATATATGTATATAGAGGCTATGACTAAAATACAGTCAGTTAGGGGGTAGGGTTGTTAGTAGATTGGATAAGGATTGAATGCTGTTTTGAAATTTAAAAGAAAAGTTGTTGATTAAAAAAAAATAAAAAAGGGAAAACCACAAAAAACTAATATAATAAATCGCCATAGACTCGCTCTTCTCTTTAAGTTAGGTAAAAAGACAACCTCAACCTCGACATATATTGTAGCAGATAATAAAAATATATTATGTCTCAAAATTATCAAATGAAATATGTTGTAAGTTGACTTGTTATATATGTATACAATGTTTTAACTGCACTTGTTTAGATTATTTAAAACAAAATACAATATTCATTTAGTATTGCTACATTATGCCAGAGATAACAATTCTGAAGAAACTGACCGTAACTATGAATGAAATAAATGTGATGACGACCAGGCTGAAATAAATAATACTCATTTAGAAAATGTTGGACCAAATATTTCAGCAGATGCAACAAGTTAAGGCACATTAAAAAATTAAATAAATCAAATTTAATGATGTGCAAGGCAAATTAGAAAATTCCTCTGACGAAAATTATCTCAGGGTAAATTTTTGAATATTTGAAGAATGCTTATTTGCTCTTAAACTATGACATCAGTATTAGAGAGTCGATATTCTTTGTGAAATCTCTTCAGAAATTAATAAGCCACCAAATAAAAAAATAAAAAAACAACTGGGTCACCTCAACAAAAAAATCAAAAGGACTATAATTACAAGAGAAATTATTAGAAAAACTCTTAGAAGTTTCTTTATTTATTAGTAAGAGTAGTGGCAATGATCATAATTATTTTTACTTCTAAATTATGTAAAAATTTTATATATTATGTATTTATTACATACAAAACTGTTATTTATATATTTTAATAAATCGACTATAATGATTTTAAGTGTTTTTAGAATATACTATCAATTCCCATTATTATTTAAATTATACTAATAAATTTGTACCTAGTGATTTTATTTGTCAAAATTCCTAAATTAGTGAACTACTGATATTTATTATTGGTTATTTTATTTATTCCCACCAATAAAATGCATAATTATTGGATTATTTATTAACTCATATCTAACTCAGATTTAACAACAATAAAATATAAAAATTTAAAATACATTTTTTGACGCACTGTAAGCGTTCTGTAAGTAAGTCAAAATTATCCATTCATTCAAAAAACCGCGCACAAATACGCGCTCTCTAGCGGAAAACATAAGAAACAATCTGTGCACGCCGCGCCGGTCAGGATTTAGCCGCTCCTCCTGATACTACAGCTTGCAACCTCAGGGGGTTGCCGCTCAAGGGGTGAAGGGATGAAAACTCTGCATCGCGACGATTTTCGGGAAATAGCGCCGTTGCGGTACGTGCTATCAAAAAAAAGTTCAAATGAAATATGTACACCATTTCACTACTTGAATTCATATTCTCTTCATAACTGCTAAAATGTGTAGCATTTGTTAATTCCATTAGAGACTGAAATTGAGAACCTATATATTTCTTGCTGAAGAGTCTTAATAAGGACGAAACCGGTCCAAGAATGATGTTTTCCTTAGTGAGCAAAATTAAAGGTAGAGTGTTGAAATTTAATTTCTATCTCTGCTGTTTTGACTTCGGATATAATTCAATACCTGTTGCGGTATTAGCCAAAGGAGTAGTTGTTTTCTGAAGGGAAACGGTTGCTCGTAATTATGTGATATTGGCTTTTAGATCTATTCATTTTATTTTACATCTTGATCACATTTGAGTTTTATTTATTTTCGATTTTAAAAGAAATGTTTCAGAATGACTGTCTTAGAAAGAAAATTAAGTTTCCTTTTTTGGGGAGCCATGGCAGCTAAAGGAGTAGGAAACTTACACTTTGTGGAAGGTATATACAATAATGGGCTTCAAAATAACTTAAAACCCCAAACTGAAAAAATGCGTTTAAATAATATGGAACGTATCTTCCAGCAAGATGGTGCCGCTTGTCACATGGCTTAAAAAGTAAAAGGTTAGAAAACAATATTTCACTTTTAAAATGGACGTACAGTAGCCCAGATATATCGCCTATTAAAACGTTGTGGCATATCAGAAAAAAAACTCAGATCAAATCCCGCAAGAACCGTTCTAGAATTACGAACCCGTCTTCAAGAAATTGGAACAGTTTTACAGTAAATGACTGCCAAACATTTAATGACACTATGTCAAGGTGTATCAAATCAGTAATCAGTCGAAAAGGCGATGTAACGCAGTGGTAATTTGCTGTTATTTGGTTTCGTAATTTTTTTTTAATGTACAGTTTTTGAATTTATCTGATTTTTTTCTGTTACAAAAAAAATTGTATTTTTAGCTAAAATTAAATAAACATATCATATGTTATCAGAAATATTATAGTTTTTAATACGTTTTTCGTTAATATGGCAAATTTCTTTAAAAAACATGGTTTTGGCAGTTGGGCCAACTTCACTAAGACAGAGCTCGTATATACATTTGAATTTATAATATATTTATTCGATAATTATTATTGCCGATTTTCCTCCCCTTGAGCATCTTTAAAATAGGAAAATAATTTTTATGACAACCAATTCATTCTAAAATGCTGAAGATCATTTTTAAAAATAACCCCACGCCTATGACTCGTCGATTTCCATTCCCCTCAGACCCGCAATGGTCTATGTTAAAAATGTGAGTCACTCTCTAAATTGTGGCATTTGACTGTAGTGCTTTCGTGAATTCGTTGGACATGTATCATAGTCTTACAATTTAATAATAAATTCATCCATAAGAAAGTAAATCACAAATCTACAAATCTGCACGTTGGCTTTAGGACTAAAAAACTGTTAATCATTTAAATAGTAATCATGGGCCCGTTCATAAAATTTCCAGCGGGGGTAAGTCTTATAGGCAGGGTCGAGACGCCACATGCTATAGTCGAAAGTCATGGCAAAAAATTCAAAGTCACAAATCCAGGGGTGACAGACGCTTCCCCTTGCCTTCGTATGGTGGCGCCCATGATTGTTATTGAAAGTAGGTAATTAATATTTGTACCTAAGTCGCTGTCATTATTAATACAATTTCACATTTTTTAAAAAAGAGGTAAAATTTTGTTAGAAAAATAAAAATTTGGCAACACATTATAGGTAATTTGAACCGTAGATTCAAAAAAATATAAAATATATAGGGTGATCTATTTTAAAAGTAAAACCCAATGACGTTTCCAGAAAAATCGGAAGTCGGCCATTTTGTTTAAGTGTCGATTGGAAATTATGTTTAGTATGTTTATTTAAAATTTAATCCAAATCGCTTGATAAATAAAAGTAATATTAACGTGGCCAGGTCTCATTATCATAAAAAAAAGTTTCTTCTTTTGACGTATTAGAATTTAATGAACATTTTTGAAACTCAAAAGCAATGTATTTAGTGCGAGTCACTCTAAATGGACTCCTTCTGATACTCTAACGCCAATACGACGTGGTTTTTACTCTTCTAATGGTTTCCTCTTACACTGCAAGTTTGGCTTCCTTTTTTTTTGACCACTGAAAAACCAGACCCACATTTTGAAGCTCTGTATGAAATTGTTGAAAATGCTGAAGCAAAACGTATTAGAATAGGTGCTAAAGACGATGGAGCAACAAAATCATTTTTCAAGGTCATTTTTTTTTAATGTAAATATCCAGTATTTTATATACATATATTTTTTTTAATTGCATATTATGCTATACTATGATATTTTTGTTTTTATTATGCCTTGTTTTTTTTTTTAATAATAAACTGTCAACGTATCATGACAACTTAGATAATGTGTATTTTATAGGTTATAATAAAATAATGTGCATCTGTGAATATATTATTAAATGTACATTCTTTAGTTGGTAGGATCATATAGTAGAAAAAAATATTGGCATTTGAATAAAATATTCGCCAAACTTACCTAAAAGCTAACCACATGTCAATACACATTACATTTAACCAAATAAATGATCCAAGGAAAAAATATATTATTAGATAACCTGAAATTAAAAAAAAAATATTGTATACATGTTATTTATTCAATATTTTGTAAATATACTTATTCATTTAATAGGACACAAATTTGTTTACTATGAATACATCAGTTATATGCCGCGTTTGAGAATCCACATCGGATGCATTTTTTACATCTCGAGCGTTTTTTTATCCACATCGGACACATCTGTCCCATTCTCGGTCCCATTACATTTACGTATACTGAATCACGTGATCAAAGATTTTTTACATCTCAGATGCATCCGACGTGAATTCTAAAATGCGGCAATTGTTACTAAAAGAAGGACACTACTTTGTTAAGAGGCGCCGACACCAATTATTACAGATGCGGAAAACTAAACGCGATTACTCTATTTTACAATGACTTTTAACGTCGGACCACTTTAAAAATTTCGTGGTACAGTGCGTTGGCGTATTTGTGTGACAGCCGCGTAATTGTGACACTTTCTTTTTATTTAAATTTCCCGCGTGTTAAGAGCGCTACGCATGTAGGACTCGTTTTTCAGCGTCCCCCATTACACAGATGAGATTTCGTGTTACCGCTGCTCTGCCGGTTCGTCCGAAGTAAGTCATTTAAAATGTCATTTTAAAACTTAATTCATGATAATTTCATAACAAATTGTGTAACTAAGTAGTTAGAATTTGGATTAAATGTGCATTTACTGATGTTTAAGTAGTATATCAAATGTTTACATGTTTTATAACCTAAAAATAATTTTTGATGGCAAATGATGGGATGTCACCACATACTTTGATTACTATACGGGGCAAGAGAGAGGTCCGACACGCCCAACATAGGGCGCGGCCATTTTGAACCCTATGACACAGTTTATAGCTAAAGAATCAGATCGCTCACTCTGCGTCGGCACTTTTTATCTCAATGTTCCAGTTTATACAGGGACAACTAAGATAATACAATATATGACAACCGCCTATAATAAAACAGCAGTCTTCTGCGTATCCTGAATTTGTCTCCCTGGAGTGAATCTTATTTTGGAACTTTCAACTGGTCCGAGTGAGCTAACTGATTCTATAGTAATAAACTGTGACTCCAAAAATAATATTCACTGACACTGACAGCAGCAAGCAAAATATCAGGTGCGTTTTAATCATCCGCTTCTGCTTCCGGAATTGTCGGTTTAGTCGTTCTAACCTGTCAGATTAAAACAAGAAAACCGACAATTCCGAAGCAGAAGCGGATGATTAAAACGCACCTATTAAAAATATTGCGCCAAGATGTAGGCAACACGTAATAAGGGTTCAAAATGGCGGAGTTTTCTATCTCCTTTTAAAAGGCACTCAGAAAGCTGCGCAGTGCTACCATTCTCCGTATAATGTCACATTTAACTGACAAATTATTCACTGGTTTTAAATGTGACAAAATTGAGGGTTTATTTGTGACAAGAGCAATGACATATATAGATTAATAGACTGCTCATCCATATATAAACAAGACGACGAAAAGTGGGTCATATTGCTTAGCTTGCCGAGTGCTCACCAGGCAGAATCGGTCTGGCCCAAATGAGTTTAAAACACATATTTCATCAAAGTAGGAATTGAATTAAAAAAAAAATATCTGTATGTTTATTTCAAGACAGGAGCTTGCGTTAGGTATTTTAAAAAAGGATTTTGAGTCGTAACGTCTAGTTTCCCAATTTTCAAGACATTTTAAGAGATCTAACCAATTTTGAACATAGATATAAACAATTTTACACTCATGTGTATATAACTAACTTTAGACCATGACTACTGTATAGTGGCACTATTCGGACACTTGATTATTCTTTTAAAATTTATTTCGCATTATAAAAGCAGATATTATGCAAAAATTGAATGAACTTTTTAAAGATTTAAAGTTAGTAGCTTTTTCACATTCTAAAGTTTGTCCCTTTAGACAATTAAGGATTATTTTGGCGGTGAATGTGAATGATTTGATGAATAATAATAAAATTCCACCAGTGGAAATCTGATCAATATCATAGTAAAATGGACTAGGTACAAAGTGCAATCTTAGTTGACGTAAAGATCCGTGTACCTTAGCATCGGTAAGAGGGAAATAAAGATTCTGACTTACAATCACAAAAAGAACGTACAACTAAGCTTAGTCGATGTAAGTTAGCTCAGATTAGTGGTAAAAAGAAAGCGACTTTTAATAAGAAGAAAAGTAATCCAGCTAAAACAAGAATTATGGCTACTGTCTTTAATAATGATATGTTGCCAGTACTAGTAGAATGTTAAGTGTTGAGTTATCTTCTTCAGGCAATGGATGTACGTATGCATAATAATTTAAAATGTTTGGTTAATTATTATTATTATTATGTTTAATGTGTTTTTGCAGTTAATGAACGTATATCTACTACTGAAGCAGATAATGAAGATTTGTGTGCTGCTGAATAGCTTTGCTTAATTTACAAAACTTTGTTTAAAAGCAGAAAATTGGGATCGATTGTTCAACACAAGTGAAGAGTGGTGATTTAGTTGATCCGTTTTCAAATAGAATTGTTAGTGCTAAAGAACTATCTACTTTAATAGGATTGCAATCCTTCCAGTTATTAGCCACCATTGTGGAATTAGTAGCAGAGTTGTTTCTAAAGAATAGGAAAAAGCAGATCAGTTATGTCTGTAAAGGATCAAGTTATATTTACTTTTATGAAGTTGAAAACTGATATGCAAGATATAATGTCTTAGTCATTTTATTTGGAGTGAATGAAACTTTTTATCGTTAAATTTTTAACAGTTTTTATTAAAACTGGTAGAAGTTCTTAGTATGGTATAATTCGGCCTTCAAAACAAGAAATATTAAATAATGTGCCTCTATGTAAGTAAGAGTACTACTACTTGATTGTACCGAAATCCCAATACAGCAAGCCAAATGTCTTTGTTGTAGGCTAAAAAATTACTCTGACTACAAAAAGAGGCATATACTATTAAAATATTGACTGGAGTGTCACCTACTGGTCTCATTACTTACAAAAGTGAAGCATATGGTGGTAAACTACTTCAGAAATAGACATTTTTTTAACAAAGTTCAATACTTGAAGTGTGTGAATCATTTCTCGATAGTAAAATGTTTAACAAAGGTTTTCTTATTGGAAACATAACAGAAGCTGAAGGTATACAGCCTCCTTTCCTCAATAAAGAAAATCAGTTCAGCCATCAAGAGGCTTTACTTAATGCCAAAATTGCCAGAGCTAGAATTCACATAGAAAGAACCTATCAAAGAATAAAAGTGTTTGTCTCTCTGTATTGGTACTTATGTCCGTTTTTCTTCTATTTATATTGAGTTTTTATTATACGATACTTCTCTGTATCTAACTAACTTTTAAAATGTACTTGTAAAGCCCAGATAGCTCTAACTCGGGCCTTTGAATATAATAATATTTATGTAATTGTATTTACAATAAATACTTTATTATTATTAATATTATTATTATAATTAATTATAATTCGTAAAATTATTATAAACGTATTTACCTTGTACCTACTTGTATTGATACTTGCGTGAAAAATGAAATGTTACTTTTTATATTTCTGTAGCTGGTCCAACAAACCTTTATAGAGCAATTCACCATTTAAATTTAAAAACAAAACAAGTTTTTATACTCAAATAATAAAAAAATAATTAAAAACAGAACATAAATATAATTAAAACTAAATAAAATAAACAATTCAACAAAATGTCCGACTGAGTAATGACAATGAGAACAAAATCTCAACTAGACTAAACTTTCTTTAAAACCAGTCCCGTGAAAGGTTTGTTTACCAGTGAGCACTCAAAATTGAGACAAAACACAAACATTGCATGTACTAGACAAAGAGAAAACATATCCCAGTTCGACCCACTTTTCATCGTTTTATTTACGTATGGATAAGCAGTCTATTTAAACTATATATGTCATTGGACAAGAGTAAAATCTAAATTTTTATCTTTTCGATTAGTGTACAGTATGTACCTCATTGTATTATCAGGATACAGTACATACACATTATAGTTACACACTAACGAAATATCATTATTTAAACAAATTGCATTTATCCATAAAAATTTGAACATTTTTTTTATAGTTCGCAATCAAAATGCCAAAGAATAAAGAAAAAAAGGTGGAATCCTACATGCCAGAAGATCTAGCAAAATATTGTGCAAACTCGTTTTAAAAACTCAATACCTGGACAAAACTGGTTTTTGGGTTTTAGAAAGAGACATGGTCTTTCTTGTAAAAAACATATAAAAAGACCAATTATTAGAACAGAACAGACGATGCCGGAAATAATTTATGGTATCTACGATTTGTATGAGTCTACATTGAAAGACTGGGATTACTTGATAAATCAAGCCAAATTTTTAACCTCGACGAGACATCATTATGATCAGACCCATGAAATACCAAGGTTGTATTAGCAACAAATCAACCTGTGTTTCGTCAAACTGCTGGTACTGGTAGGACTAACACTTCGATATTATTTACAATTTCGGCAAATCGTGACAAGATGCCTTCATTTATCTTGTATCATGCGAAGCACCTATGGGATATGTGGATGCCTTAGGAAGCTCATCCAAACACTGAATATGCTGCTACCCCACGTAGATGGATGACGGAAATAAAAATTTTTAACTGGTTTAAAAAACACTTTTTAAAGCATTGCCAAAAAGAACGGTTTCTTCTTGTTATTTTCGATGGTCATTCATCGCACTCATCTTTGGATCTATTAGAATTAGCTATTAAGGGAAACATTTGTCTTATCAAACTATCTCCGCACACGACGCATATTCTGCAGCCGTTGGATTCGCTTGCGTTTGGTGTTTTTAAAAAATCATGGGATGAAGAGTTAAATGTATGGCAGCGACAACACTACGGAGGTCCCCTAATTGTACAAGCGCACAGTGGGCTAACTCGCAGCAAAACCTGGCCATGAAGGTAAAAAAAAAGTTGCGATTTTAAACTTTAGTTTCATGAAATTTCGCGTAGAAGACACCAGTGAATAC